CAGCATTGCAATCTTTATTTAGTATTATACATTCGATTTTATGTTATATATATATTGGAAGTGGAAATGATCGTATTTAAACTGAATATTGTCTAAGAACTTTACAAAGGGTTAAGGACCTGATATACAACTGAGTAAAAGGTTTTGTACTTCTGTTGCAACTTGTTTTGAATGTTTGGGGACCTTTGGTGCAACTGGTTTGAAACGTTTGGGACTTCTTCTACGATAATTGGAAAACTTTTTGGACTGCCTCTGAGACTTATGCAATTTATTTGGGATCATCGCTGCACCATCTTCATAATGTTTTCGAAACAAATTTTCCTTCTATTTTTGAATCATTCATTCTCAATAAAGAAGAGAAACATAGGAGAAAAAAAAATATCAAAACACAGTTGAATAATAACATGTTTTATTACAAGAAAATAAGTTAGAAGACAATAGAACACACGATTTGTCACTGGGAGGCCTACATCACATCTTAATTCTTACCTAACCCATATCTAGATACAGACCCATTTCACTAAAGCCTCTACATACAAATCGAATGAGCCAAGTATTCCATGCTGTACGACCTCTTGAATCAAGATTGTTTATTTCAAGTTCCCGTAAAAGTCCATGAATCAACTCCTTCGATCCATCACAAATTGGCGGGTCAACCCAGTCGAAAAAATTACATCCACCAACATTTTTACGTCGTGAGCAGCTGATATACCTTTTTCGTGGGTTCAAGTTCGTCCATGAAGTTTTCATCTCTATAAGGAACCCACATCCACATACATTCATCTCCATCTCCTTTCTGAAAAGTGTCTGATATTTACTGAATGTGAGAGAGAATAAATATTATTCAACTATATGGAGGGAAATGTACAATGATTTAAGCAGTATCAAGTGAGAAATATTGATTGGATGAAATTGTACCTCGTTAAAAGGGTCAATATATCTGATTTTTTAATTTTCTAGGTCAATTGATGGTGTTTTGGACGGTTTCCATCCAAAGGGACCACAACCGCATATTTATGAAAGGTTAGAGATCTTATTTGGCACAAAATGAAGGTTAGAGTAAAATCTACAAAAAATGAAAAGAATAGGGACCACTGCTACAATTTTCCCATAATTAATTCTTTATTTATCTTTTCAAAAACTAACTATTTTTTATTTTTATTTTTTGGCATTATTCTCAGTCCAGGGAGTTGACTCGCAATCCAGTGGCGGATCGGGGAGTGGGTCCTCAAGTTTTCTTGGATCTATTTTTCATTTTTTACTATTATTAAATTTTTTATAAAGCATATTTTAGGGCCAATTTCGACTTTTATATTTATTTATATGAGCAAAATGAGTCAAATTGACGTTAAAGTAGAAACGCAATTAAAATAACATTTAAAAGTGAAAACAAAAATCGAATTATTAAATTTAACTTAAATCATATTTGGCTTGTTATTTTTGAAATGAAAGGTACCCAGTACCTACAAGAATGAGTGAAGAACATTGCCCGAAAATAAGTAAAAATAAATAAAAATGATGCCGTCATGGGAATTAAAAGATAAAATCAAATTGTTAAAAAATCCATTCTAACAGCTATATATGGCTTGTTATTTAATAATTTTTCAATTCGAAAGATACATTATGAAATTTGCAATGAATACTTTGAAAATGGTTCAAAGATCTACCCGATAGGTAAAGAATATAACTCGAAAATAAGTCGAAAAATGTCACATAAAAATGAGAATCAATGACAAAGTGCAATTATTAATGGGTCTAGCAACCACTTTTGCTCGTATTTGAATGCGTTGTCGTGTTCTGATGTGAAAGATATATTGAGACGAAACCAAATCAATTTGAGCCCCAATTGTAAATTCTTGGCTCTATTGAGAAGAGACCAAATCAATTTGAGCCCCGATTATAAATTCTTGGCTCCACCACTATCTTCATCCATGAATGGAGTCTGTCCGACTCTCCCAAGACTCGTCTTCTCACAACATTTTCTCAACTTAGATACAGGTCCAGATGGCTCGGATGGGCACTATGGGTCATTTGTCCCTTTAGGTTTGGAGAGACAAACGAGACATGGGCGGACCCAAGGGGGGTCCGGAGGCAGGTGCCCCCAACTTTTGTGATTCTTTTTTTTTTTTTTTTTAAATCACGTTTGTTATTAATTAAAATTTAAATTTTAATCTAAATTAAAGTCAATAATTAATTTTAATCGCATATTTTATGATACCACAACTTTTCAACCATACATTTCATCAAAATTTATTAAAAATCTTACTTTCTTAATTTTCCTATGCCACGCCTTTACAAAAACGCTACTTAACTTAGGCAAAGTATGATTTCGTAGTATGCAAAACAGGTGAGGTTAGTGAGTCCCGATATAATAATATAAATATATAATGATAAATAGAGGTTAGCAATATTATTGATAAAGCTTTTAGACAGAGAAAGAATGAAAGAAAACAGTGAGAGAGAAATAAGAGCGGTTTGATGCTGTGAAAATTCCCGTTTTTCTTCCCAATCCATATATGTAATACGTGTAT